AGAGGGCTTCCCCGGCGCTCGACCCTCAGAGCGGGGTCGGCGGATATGGCCCCGTCCCCACATTGCAAAAAGTAACTAGGGCTCGTCGTGTTCAGTGGCTGGTGCAGGAGGCTGCTCCGATGGTGCAACTTGCGGCGGTGCCTGGAGCTGCACAGAATGCACACGCAAGGGTCGCAGTATGTCGTGCTAAGGCCCAGATTGAGTGCCCGCTCGGTCACGAACTTGGGGCATTCTCTTCGCGGCCCCCGGACTACAGAAAATTTGACGGAGCAGCAGCCTCACAAGAAAAAGCGCTAAGCAGAATGTTGGCCAGCCTGGATCCAAAAGTATACCTGATGAAGCAGCCCAGCACCACTTGGCTTTGTCGTGATGCGCAGGAGACTTGTACACTTGCGATGTTTGCGGCCGCGATGGTGAGTACCGCTACGGCGTCTATCACTGCACGAAGTGCTTCCAGCAAGGCCTGCTGCCGCCATCTGCCACCTGCCACCAGCACCTGAGGGAGTCTGACGAGCTAAGAATGCGCAGGTCCATTCACAATTTCTGGGCGATCTAAGGTTGGGTGTTATTGCATTGCCAGGTGGACGCCAGTTTGACGCCTGCCCAGCTTGTGGAGTCTCTGCTCGAGGCAGCAAGGGCAGCAAAGCCAACAAGGCCCAGAAGAGCAAGCATAAGAAGCGCTGACGCCAGCAAAATATTGCCGATTTAGTGGTGCGTGTGATTGCAAGCTGGTTTGATGATGCAAGCCTGGAAAAAGAACGTGGGAAGGTCTAGGAGTCTAGGCTTCCGAACCTGCTATGTTGTCATGCAGCTGTGTTGGCCCAGGACGCCACATTTCCCTGAGGGCTAAGATGCGCGCAGAACACAGAACGTAGGACCAAGACTGTATAGACTCTAGACAATGCAATGGTGATGCTTAGCTTGGAAGGCCAATGTATTTGAAACAAGAAGTCTGCCATGCTTGCATTATCTTGCATGAGTAGAGCCACCTCGCCGAGAGGCCATGCTCAAGGTACTCATAGCAGGCGATTTCAACTAACTGGCGCACTCCAGCCTGCGATTGTTAGAGTGCCGTGCCTCTGCCATGTCGCTTCCGAAATTCAAGGCGCCCTTTGCTCAATATCAGGCAAAATTTGAAAAGTAGCAATGCTCGCCGAGAAGGGCAGCCTATACAACAGATGCTAGGAAGCGATGACAGCAGTCGTGATGTTATTCACATGTGCTATCTCTCATTGGCAGTGCAAGTACAAGCCTAATGATTCGCGAGCTCTCTTGTGCTGCACCATGGTTCCAACCATGGCTACGCAGGGGCGTTGCGCTGGTGTTCCCTTCTTGTGTCAATACCCTATGGTGATGGACATCGTGTTGGTTGCTGCGCGCTCATGCATTGTCAGGTGTTGCAAGACATGCTTACGCAAACGTGTGACGGTGGGATTCATTTTGCCTGCCTAGGGTGCCTTCCAAGAACGGGGCTGACACTGGTGGGTTGCCTTTTGCCAGAGTGGGGCACCTTGGGGCGTTATGACAAATCGCGTAGGGCATAGTGCAGTAATGCTGCTGCTGCTGCCAGCTGTTGTTACCTTTGCTACGGAGGCTTGCCTGATAAAAAACTACTGTTCCCGAATTGGCCATTTGCTGCTTGAATTCTCCGACCACGCGATTGTGCCGTTGGGTGAACGCATATGCGGATGCACAGCTTTCTGACAGCTAAGTATTTCAGCATACTCAATCTGCGAATGCTTTGGCATGTTTCACGTGCCTGCTGAAACTCTGGAAGACCCCAGCTGATGATTTGCGGCGTGATTGCAGGTGGTCCTTGTTGGCGACCAGTCCGTTGGCAAAACGGCCGTTGTGGTGTGCCTTACTCAGAGCCCAAAACACAAGGTGTCAACCATGGCATGCATGCTGCAAGGTGATCGTGTTTTGCCGTGCTTGGTATGCAATAGTCATGTAAGCAACAATGTTGCAGGCGGTATCTGAAAAACACGTTCGAGGAGAAGGCTGCCCGCGATTCGTTGACACTGGCTTTCTTTAGTTTCTGATTGCTCGGCAGGCAGAGGCAACCATTGGAATGGACTTCCAGACAAAGACTGTACAGTTGCTAAGTGGGAGCCGATTCCTCAAAGATTATCAGATCATAAATAACACCGTTGCGAGGGCAGCTTTACTATGGCAAAAAGTAGCTCCTGCCGAAGTCGAAATGGCATATGTTTTGAGGCCAGATTCGCCTGCAGCTTTGGGACACAGCCGGGCAGGCTGGGCAAAACCGATAGGCGCCAGATCGTGGCAGCCGGCCGCATGGCGCAAGCAGTTGCTCCCTGTGCTCAAACAACGCTGCCAGTAGGAGCGGTTTCGCAGCCTGGTGAACGGATACATCCGTGATGCAGCTGCGGCAGTTGTGTGGCCAGCCACCCAGCTCACACAGCATGGCGCTTCTGGCTAGGCGAGCAGTGATCAAGCTGGCCATGCAGTTCTTGGAGAGCACATCCGTTTGCCAAGTTATGATGTTACCAACCGCGGATCGTTTGAAAGCACCACCCAGTGGATTGAGGAGATTTGTTTGAGAAGGGTCACGGTTGGTTGCGCAGGGTTGCCGGTGATGGCATGTGCTTGGGTCTTCCGCCAAGCCGTGAGATTTGGGCTGAGGGTCTCTTGTGACAGGCTTCCTAATTTGGCAATTGCACTGCCTGAAAGATATGCAGTAGCAATATACATCAAAAGGAGCAATTGTTTGTGCAGGAGGTTCGTCAGTCTCGTGGTGACGATGTCCTAGTGTATCTAGTGGGCAACAAGGCAGGAATCGCTGCTGCAGAGCACCGAAGACATGTGCGTAGTCAACGGGAGTTCTTTTCCCGTGCAGGTCGATCTTGCAGAGGGCCGTGCTGCACTGAGCTGCTGATGTCTTCCAATACTCTGCCTGCTGAGCTGCTGAGGCCAGGTCTCGCGTGCCGAGGGCGAGGCGAAGGCGGCCGAGGCAGCTTGGCGAAAGTTGGGCGAAGCTAAGTGGGCTCGTGGGATGGGCTGGGAGGGTGGAGGGTGCTTGCAGGAGTTGCGAGTTGCAGCCACGAGCTTGTGTGCAAGCGCAGGTGAAGGGCCGCTTTGCTGAAACCAGTGCGCGCTCAGGGGAGAATGCTGTGTCCTGAGCAGCTGCATCCTGTCAAAGAAGAGCTTCATTCTTTACCTTCTTGTTCCGCCTTTTTAGTCGAGCAGCGCGGTGCCAAATCTACAGACCCTGCATAGAGCGCATAAGGTCCATGAGCTCTTCAAACAGCTCGGCGAGGCCGAGCTGTGAATGTGCAGACTGCAAAGACCAGATGGAAAAAAAGCTACATGTAGCAAGGCAGCAGAGCCATACTGTGCACGTTGGAGGCCCTGGCGCAGCGGGGGGATGTCGGTGGGCGACTAAGTGGATCACCGATAGGGCAACATCTGTCGAAAAATGCAAAGGAAAGGAAACCTTTTTCTGAATGATTGATTCCAAGGATCTGCTGCATCAAGTCAAGCCAAGGACTTGCCTTGGAATCTTGATCGTTTCCTTGTGTAGCACAAATTGCAAGCAGCAGCTCTGCGCTCTGTGATTTGCAGGAGAAGGTGCAACTTGGCGGGTTGCAACCTTAGGCTTTTAAGCCCTGATGTTCCAGATCAGCGGCTACAGCGGCAAAGGAGCATGCATGCTGTCTGCAATGGACTGACTGCGTTGCAGGCAAGAACAAGCCGACAAGAAAAGCAAGGCGAGCCAATGCGAGTGATTTAAGAAACTACACCTCTAGTGACCATGGTGCTTCCAGAGATGTTCTGGAGTTTGACGGCCTGCACGCTTGATTAGCAAATCACTTTCTTCCTTGCAGAGGCCTGTGCCTGCTAGCTGTGTTTCTCGTGGAGGCCTCAGCGAGTAGCAAGGATTTGGCAGCCCTTCGCTTTGCACAGTTCAGGCCTGTGCAGAGTCCAAGTTAGGCTGACAGATGCAAGACTCGCAAAATTGCGCCGCGCTCGAACAGTGCTTTTGCATTATCTGCAGCTGGTCTCAAGTTTGCATCAGTGTGGATGGCGTGCTCAAAGGGCGGTCCATGGCAGTCCTTGAGACGCGTCACTATCTAAAGCGATTACATTGCACGAGGTGGTCACTGTGCGCGCTTGCTTCAAATTTCAATCCGATAAGGCTGCTTGTGTGCTAGCTCTTGAATTTGCAAACAGAGTGCTGCTTGGCTGCATGCTGTCTTGTTCAGGCTCAAGGCGGCCTTGCTTGGAGACTTACCTAGAGCCGCGGATGCCGGGGGACGAGCCTTTTCCCGAAAGGGGAAAACACCTTGATCCCAGACATATGAAGGAGGTACAGATGCCCTTCGTGTGAGAAATAATTCGCATAGCCCGGTCTTGATGTTCTTGTTGTGGGCGCCGGCCGGAACCAACATGCATGTATAATTGACAATGTGAGATGTTGTGACTGGCAGTGCTGCAAGGACAGCAGCAGAGGCTCCTTCACATTCAGGTGACATCAGCCGGCTCTGAGCTTGCGCGTTCATTGGAGACCTTCCCTCAGATCAGTGTGTGGATGTGGGTCTTGTTGGGACGAATTCCATCACACTTTGCAAAGACGATGCACGCAGCAGCGCGGTGTAATTCAACTCTTGGCTGGCATCTTGTATCTGGATAAAGGGGCCCTGCAAGCTGCGACCAAATGCAGGGCTCCACCTTTATGCTTTCATATGTGAGTAGCGCATAGCTACTGGACTAGTCACACTTTGGATGTAGCCAATCTGCTAATGCCATATCCGATGCCAGCTGGGTACATGGTAACGTTCACACAGCATGAGCGTGCTGTCTCCTGGACACTTGCTAGAAGCAAGCACGGACGAAAAGGGTCGCGACAGGTGTTTTGTCTGATTTGGCTGTGGCTACTTCAGCTGTGCTCTTCATTCCTTGGTAGGCGGTAAGGCTGGCCAATGCTCAGCCACCTTGCTTCTTCTCGCTCGGCGTCAAATGTTACAGCTAGCTCATGAATCTACTTGACATGATGACATCTTCCTGAAACCTCAACCGGCCCCCTGACGAATCCCAACAGCTTGTCTCGCAATGATGGAAAGACGGGAGGAGAGCATTGCAGATGCTATCCAAGCTGTATGATGCAACCAAATACTAGGCTCAAGATCCATCGTGATTGAACCTGCCCACATGCTTCCTCTGCATAACACGTCAGATACATGAAGTCACGATGGCATTCCGTGAGTGCTGGCCCCGAAAGCCGTCGGGGGCTTAGACATTGAACGCTGGTCTTGCTCAACTGGTTGTACGCATAGTGGCAGGTTTCGCCGCCAAAGCTTCAGACTGGTTGGTGCTCGCACCTTACACATTCGCAGAAGAACTTTTCTTTCGTTAGTTCCAGAAATTTGCTGACTCAAATGCCCGAAGCTATGTGACTGAGCGCCTGTATCAGTTAGCTGTTTGGCAAGGAGACACTCGAGCAGTCACTGCAAAAAGTGTTTGGACCTTGGCCAGACACAAGGTCTCAAGCTCCACACGTAGAGCTTTGCATCGATTGTCGCTAGGCCTGGCCTTCTAGCCCCGAATGCGGCGCCCAGTGATGCCAGCCCCTGAGCCCTGAGACGCCTCAGCCGCGTTAAGATGCTGGTCGATGCTTGCCTCTTGGAGGTTCTTGCTGGGTCTTTGCACCGGGTCATCGATGAGGTCCTCGGTATGCGCTCTCTGACACCTGAGCATTGCACTTGCCTTCAGGAGCCTCTCCAACCCACACACCTTTTTCGCCATCATTCTTCCCCGGTGGCCGCCTGAGTAGGTGCTTTCGAGTGCTATGCTAGAGCCTGCTAGAATGCCAGAGGCCGAGCTGGCATCTTTGGCCTCCGGGCAGGCCTTGATACTGTATAATTTCTGGCCATGGAAGCTTCACCGGTTTAGCAGGGGCACCAGCAAACAGCATGCGCTCAAGTAACTGTCATGGAGGCTTTGCAGAAGCAGCCGACCCCGGAACACAAGGTAAGGCCCTGCTGACTTACTTTCAGCCACTGTCCTGTACGCGGTCGGGTGCTGGGGGTATTGCCCAGGCATGGCTTGTTTTCCTTTTCGTGCTCCTCGATGCGTCGAAGAGCTACGAGCCAAGAAGCCGGCACAGGAGCCGTGGCAGGTGGCACCTTGTGTCGTCGATGCTGAGGCATTGCCGTCAGTCATGCTGCCGTTCATGGCGTGCCTCTTAATCAGCTGCACGTGGAGGAGTGCATGTTTGAGTCACTGGGAAGAGATGTATAGAAATGTGATCAGGCCGGATGTGTGCACCCTTGGTCATTGCCAGCAAAAACGCCCTTTCAATAGGCACGGGTCGCAGATGATGGCGGATCCAGTCATACGGTTTGTATTAAGCTGTTATATGACATCATGTTTCCTGTCTCCATTGATGTTGGTGATGTTTAAAATTCTGTCATTGCCTGTAGCATTCCAGTTATAAGATGGAAGGTTTGGGCTTGGCTCTGGCATTGGGTCGCGACGGACTGCCCGGCTTCCGCAACTGTTTGGCCATGCGCCGTGGATTCCAGGCCAGCTCCTAGTGCTGTCAACTCCAGGCTTGCAAGAAACATCAAGAAGCCATGGGGTGCTGGGTAGAGCACGGAGGTTGGTCATGTCATCCTATGTCATCCTACAGCCTCGTGATAGGATCTCAGCCCATGATGCAAAGCAACCTGCGCCTTGCAGGTCCTACCCATTGCAGCCGCTTTTGGCTTTGCTCAGCTATGCGCCATGAAGGCCAGTCCCACGGCCCATACAACTCGCCCGAAGCTATGCTGCTTTAAGGCACTTCGGTTTTACGATGCCGGCAGTTTGAAGGTGATTGCGCAGGCGCGGCTCCTTTTTGACCTTGTTTAGCGGCACCCCGTTAGCAAGTTCTTTTTTGGGCGGCCCCTTTGGGCGGCCCCAAACCTATCAGGTCAACCTCCCCCTTACGGCTCTGTTGTCGTGGCTGCTGCTCCACCGACGCATCTTGGCAAGCATGCAGTATTGCCACGGACAACTCACCCCCACATGGGCAAGCGGCAGAGGCTACTCCGTGCAGAAATGGCTTGCAGTGGCCGGCACCTGATTCGCTGTGACAAGGGCACCTGTTGCCAAGCCCAGTCCAATGAGACCCTATCAGCGGCGTGCACATGGGTCAGTAACAAACTTTGAAGCTATGGAATGCCAAGGGGTTGATGCTGGTGACGAACATAGCCTTCCTGCAGGCGCAGTTCTGGTTTGATCCGCGGTCTGCTGATTGTACAATTGTTTACCCGACCGCCTGTTTACTGCTGGCCAGGTTCGGATGCTTGTGTTCCAGCCCCCAAGCCTGGCGCACAGCTAATGTATGTGGCTCAGAAATCTTGGGAAAGAAGCTGCCAGGCTGTAGAGAGGCACTCTGTGAGGAGGAGCCCCACAGGACTTGGCCTGGCAGCAGCTCAACTTTTTGCGTATGAGGTGTGCTCTTTGGACTTTGTGCACTAGCCGCAACATGGGCTGCCTCTCCCAGCAGTCCTCTAAGAACAGAAGCATGTGAAGTCGCGCATGCACTGCGGCAGGGAGGCAGCTGTTGCATATTCCGTTGACACGCTTGCAAGTTGTCTCCTCCAGTATATATTCATATACATACACATACATAAATATGGACATACGTTGTTCTTTTTCTTGTGTTTGTGCTCCAGCCCTGGCAGGATAGCGCCCAAAGTGTTGGGGATGTTTTACTTCCTGCCGTTTGCCTGCAATCAACGGCAAAATTATTTTGCTTGACGAGAAATCCTTGCCTGAACCAGCAATTTTCTGCTGGGTCAAGTCATGGTCAAGTCGAAGAGCCTATCCATTTTGCTTCAAAACTTCAGGCTTGGCATTGCTGTCTCCTGCTCGGTGCTCGCCCCAGAACATGCTTGCACAAGGGGGTGCTGACATGGTCGGCTTTCGTGTGCACGCCGCAAAAAGCCAGGCATCAATCTTTGCAGAGAAGTTTTTAAAGAAGTGGCCAGAAGAGTGTGGCTCTGAGACGGCTCCTCATACTGTACGTAGGCTGTGAGAATACAGCTTGATGCTCTTCAAAACATGGGGCCCCCTACTTGTGCAAGCCTATAGAGATCC